AACAATGTGGCTCGAAATCTTTCGCTTTCCTATTTTTTACGACTTGCATATTGACATAATCTTCTAATTCTTGCTGTATTTCTGAATTGGATTGTAACGATCTTTACCATTTTTAACAGCCTTCAGTTTTTTTTTATGCGAAGAAACAAATCAGCAATTTTTTTAAAAGACTCGGTCACTTTCTAGCGGTAGTTTGAAGGTTTAAAATATCCCGTGTCACTATATCTGATGCTGCAGCCAGTATTCAATGTGAAATATGTATTAAAAGTTTCTTAAGAAAAAACTTTTACACTTTTACGCGAGAAAACTTACACTGATGTGGTACGCTACTAGATTATCAAGTATACGTACTTGTTAAACTAGTTGCATAAATCTTAGAACAGCATGTTTTTATTCGAATGAAATATGATACTCCATTGAAAATTTTTTAATTAACCTGTTTCAATGTAATTTTTTCGAACAATATTTTTAACTAATGCTCCATGTAAACATTCGAATAACGAAACACATTTTCTAAATTTCGATATATACTATTGTCGTAGTTTAAATTCGTAAACATGCCTGTAAAAACAGAAGTCATATACACAGTTTTGTAGTACTTTATACATAATATTAGCGCGTATTTCATAATAAAATTCATTAAATGTGCTTACTCCATGTATTACTTAAAATTCAGTGTCACAGAAACATAAAACAACAATTTATGCAAAATACAAAAAACTTTACTAGTATAACAGTAATTTAAACACATCAAACCAAATAATGAAACGCAAATCAATTTGAGATTTTAATCGTAAAAGTATCAGTGAATCAGTGAATCAAATATCAGTAAATCAATGCAGCTAAGTTAATGTGACGATGTATAATTAGAAAAGTTACTAAGAAAAAGAGACAGGTTATGCTTTAAGATGAAATATATCTCTACTCTCTTTTCAACTCTCTTGAATAAAAGACAAAAATTGAATTTTTCTATAGAATTCCATAAAACTTTATAGTTTAAACCATTGGCTTCAATTTATATCAATAAGTATAAAATAATTATGCTCAATTACTTAAGATTTTTAATTTGTTGGAAATCAAGTCACAATCCTTCTTTAATGTTACAATTATAAAAACCAACTGTAATTATGTTTTATTTATCGAAAGTTATTACAAAGTAATAAGGTTGATCAGTTCCTTCAAAGTATTATAATCATGTAGAAAACAACTGAAAATATAATATTCAGAAAAGAAAAATTGTGAAAAGTTTACGGGATACCATAGAAAACAAAAAAATTGCAACCAAGGTGCCAATTCATTGTTTCCTACGCGTCTATTGATGGTTCACACATTGTACCGTTATCTCGACATGCCGCGGCAGATAAAATCACCGGAAACTTGTGTTGCAGGCTCTGGGAAACGTTTACTTCGGAACTTGCTTTACTGGGAGTTTATATTTTCTATTTTTTTCTAATATTATCACTCGTAAATATTTTAACATCATGAAATAAAAAATGTGCGATATTTTTCGAAAATATTTGTTTGTTCTTTTGAAATATTTCACTGCTTAGAAAACGAACTCATTCTTTCAAAATAAAAAATATCAATCACAAATTTCTTTCAAACCACGAATATAAGTAGGTAAAAATCGTATATCATTTTGGATTTTTATATCGAACTCTGAAAGCACGAAACGGAAGAAGAAACGTATATTAAATAGCATTTCTAAAGTAAAATGTATAGAATATTACATGATTTATTTCACAGTGTAATAAAAGACATGATTAATATCATTCTTCATTACCTCGATTTTATGTTTCGCCAAAACATAGCTTATATATGATCTAATTAAATGCTAATTAGATATTAAATAAATTCAACTATTTACTAAAATATCCTCATTATAAACTTTAGATGAGTAATGGCTTTGATTGATTAGAATACAACGCTTACTCGCAGTCGGTGCATCTGTCCATATAATACGCATGAAAAGCAACGATAGCCTTTTTCAACTACTTTTGCAGATCATCAAGGCGCGTTCACTTAATTTCGTTTTTCGAGCATAGTAATGAAAATCAATATATTATCGTCTAAGTTTAAACGTTAATAGACAGTGAGAAAAGGTACGAAAGGAAACCAGTTTTTAAAAATTTTTATTTTCAAGATTGTAATAAGCATTTCATATGCTGAATAAAGTAACAACTTTCATGGTGAAATATGAATTTCTGATTTATTTAAATATTTAAGAGAAAATTTTCATAGTTGTCAAGAAAACATTTGATAAATAAATTCAATGATCGTCAGTGAGTAATGAAAAAAATAACAATAAATCAATCAATTTATGTTTTCGATACTTTCATATTTGCTACCAACGTTTTTATCTTTATAAGTACTTCCTAAAAATCATAAAATAAATGTAACAGTAATTAAGACACCGATTCTCACGTTCTTCTCAGCCTACAAAGATCTAAACTTTATGCAGTTAAGGTCGAAACTAGAGTAGCACGCCGACGCCTAACGGGCAATCGAGTTGCGCTATTTGCTGCCGCCAATCGTGAGACAGTTCGGAACGCAATCTTCGTATAAATGCCCTAATGAATATAATTTTTTTGTTATTATAACATAAAAAAAGCAATATTTTATATTGAAAATTATGCACCAAAGCATTTGAAATAAAATAAAGTCAAGTTCAGCAAAGCGGGACGCACTTTGCATTTGGTCAGCTATCACATAAGCCAATTTCTTGAGAAAGGCTTCCTTTCCTCTAATACCCCACACGTGACCGTTCCTTATCGCACATCGATACTTACTTATATGGATTAGTTATTATATTACGTGGGCTGTCAGTTAGAAATACTGTGATGATACCATTTATCGCTTGTAATGAATAATTCTCTAGGCTCGTGGAAAATTTGCTAAACCGTATCAACATTAAACTTTCTTAAATATTAAGTAAATACTCTTTACTATTGAACACGATTATTGGCTATATCTTTTTTGTTCTATATTATAGTTTAAAGTTATATCCGCAGACATATAAAAAAGGCGAATATTTATGTAAAACGTATTGTGTAAATCATTTTACTCTATTTTCGTGACAGTTCAAAAATCTATCTAATCTTCTTCGCATTAATTATATATCTATATTTATATCTCAGTGAGTTTCACGTGCTTCATTTTTTACGTTACTTTCGTAGTCAGTATAGATGAAATCGCAAAAACGTAAACAATAATCAGAATTGTCTGGTTTCTCATTCACCTATATACTAGTACTCTAATTCTCATAATTAATGAAATTTTAGGATGTTACAAAATCTAACAAACTTGTACGATTACCAATGCTATCCCCGTTGTATGAAATATCACAAACAATGAAAACTGTGAAGAAATATTTTTCTCTCTATCTCGCCACAAGAAAGCGGAAACGGAAAATTTTTCTACATTATTTGCGTGTGCCTTCGTGCTAAATTAAGATATGCGCTCGGTCTAATAAATCAACCATCGGCGCGTGGTCAGTTCACGTAATTCTCAGCACCGCAATAATTTAATTAAGACGTAATCGAGCATGCATACCGTATTGTTTCTCACAGAATTTAAAGAATTAAAATATTCTCTATCCTCTGGAAAAAAATACAACAAATTTGGATTGTTGCTCGTATAGCTTACGTTGAAACCATTAGAAATTTTCAACAGAAGGAAATTTCATATAAATAAAATGTACGCAAGGTGGTATAATACATTGCTCAAAATTATTTTAGAGACATGTTATACATTGATTTGATATAATTAGACAATTTTTTTAGATTTTGAATTTTACATAGTGACTACCACTCTAATAAGTATAAAAACATGAAATTGCTATAATATGGTGCATGTAATCTGTTATAATAATTTACAACTACGAGCCATCCAATTTAAGGTGTTTTTATTTTCTGTATAGTATTCAAGTTTCAAATATCATGTATGAACATGTTCGCAGAACGATGCATGAGGCGTGAAAGAAGCTTATTATGATTTCCAATTATAAATACGCCTCTTTCACTGACGTCGACACAGATGACTCTCGTTGAGTAAAACAGAAAATCGAAAAAGTGGATTTATTTCCTTTTTTTTCTTTGCTACTTTGTAATTTTTCAGCTTCAGGAAGCGTGGAGATTGGTTGAAATCTTGAAAAAGCTCATGAAAAAGATACAAAATAACGTTACTTGTCATTCAAATTGAATCGCTTTTTTGGCACGCTTAAATATATAATAAAATTTATGCACACATTGCTGTCTTTCGTTATTATAAATTACTTGATTGTTGTACATTTATATGTTACAATGTTTTAAATCGTTTTTAATACTTTGAGTATTCGTAAATTTGTTGTTGTTTATAAATGTATGTATGTATGTGAATATAAATAGAATGAAACAAATTGCAACTGAATGAATAGACTAGGATCCTCTCAACAAAAACGATTGATGTTCCTTTGTCTCCAATTCAATGTGCCAAGAACTTTGACAGCGTTCTACACTTGTCCTATCGAATTGATCCATATTCTAACACGCTATTCATGATGCCACCATTGGCTTCGCACTTGATAAGGTTTCTTGCTTTGTATTTAATAAAACTAGGTCTAAATATAGAATCCTATTTTTCAAAGCACAGTAGGTTCGCGTTTTGCAACAAAAACAAAATAAGTCAGTTTTGAAATGAACAGTTCTTTTCGAAATTACATTAAGTGTCCTGGCAATAAATTGGATTACACACTTAATACAGATATCATATAAATTATATAAAATATATCAAAGTATTTAAGCACTTCAAGATTAACTTCTGAGATTTCTTCAAATAAAGAAAGTCTTAGCCGTTAAAGCTTAAAAAAGTTTGCAAACTTTTGTGGTTAGTAATAAATTGGTCAATTCGTAGTTTACGTAACTGAGGGATGCGCGCGCGAGACTATGGCCTCAAATTCGATCCAATTACAGGGGTTAACAGGTATCTGATTAGCATTCTCCAAGTAGACATAGTCCCAGTGACTACCCGACACTGCTTGGCGTCGCGATGTTCTTCACTTCGTTTTTACTTTAAAGTGCTTTGCGTTTCTCTAGTTAGATATTATGGCTGATATTATTGGTTAGTGTGATTTTTGGCGTGCAGACAAATGTAAACGGTTTTATTGTACACATAAACTATTGTGCACAATCACATGGTACGAATCAGTGTGTATAAATTCTTACACTATGTTATCGTGTATAATAATTTGTATGTGTGATAAGACCGTGTACAATTATCCGTACGCCTGATTTTCAAGTTGAAGTAAGCTTATCTTTTATGGAAAAAGTTTGATGTTTCCAATATTAAGAAGGAAATGAAATTTTTAAAATGATGGTGTTCGTTTTTAATGATTATGATTTTTGAATAAAACTAAATATTCCAAATTGAAATTTTCGCTTTTTAGCAAATTTTGTTTTTTTAGTTTATTTTTTACGGCTCAGTCATGAAAAATTATCAATACTGATGGTTACAGTGAAAATAAATTACAATATTTTTGAATAACCATAAAATTAATAATGCATAATTCAAAATAAAAATACAGTTTAGTCCTTTTTAGCTAATCTCTATTTTTATTTCAATTATAAGCCTGAAACTATAAGAACCCTTAGCAAAATATCAGTAATTTCGCAGTGAACAGGATATTTTGGTTTTTATAATAGTACCTATCGAAGTCAATACTTACGATAGTTAGTCATTCTTCTATTTCACCCGTTACTGCGTAAGATTGAAAATTACGAATGAGATTTAATAGTAATACTTTTATAGTAATACTAATATTTTATAGTTATGCTACTACTAAATATTTTTTGAAGTCGTCTAAAAAATATTTTCGACTGATATTTAACACAAAAATATTCAATTTCAAAATGGCTAATTACGTAAAATACTAAAACAATTGAAAAACAAAATCAATGTGAACGTTTTTTTATATGTTACAGAAATGACTAGTGGCGGTACCAACATGGCGTACCGTGGCCTAAGTCAACACGTAAATTTTGACTCGATCCCAGATCCGGAGGACCGTTTTTCTCTTGAGGAGTTAATTGGCGAAGGCACTTATGGTGAAGTATACTCAGCACGTGAAAAGGAAACGGGATCTCAAGTGGCCGTGAAAATTCTCGAGAATGTCGCTGATAACATCGAGGAAATAGAAGAAGAATTTCTTGTGTTACGGGATCTTAGTATGCATCCTAATATTCCGGAATTTCATGGAATTTTTCTTAAAAGAGCAAAGCCTGCTCAAGAAGAGGATCAGCTTTGGTTTGTTATGGAGGTGAGTCAACGGAAAATAATGATAAATTTAGTTTATTTGCGAAATTTCTTATATCCAAATCAACGTTTTTAGATTATTAAGTGGAAGTTTTTATATTTAAACAGAAATAAAATTTGAATTTATGATAGAACAAAAATTTATGATGGTAGGTGAATAGACTAATTATTCAAATAATTGCTTTCAGCATTAAATAGAGTTTTATTTTCATGGAAGATGATCATGAATCTACAATTTTAAACAATTCTTTATTTCTATCTTATAACAAGTTAAAAATATTTCTCTGATCTACTAAAACTGTACAACTTATAACATTCTTATGATACTCAATGCAGTTAAACCAATCATTACAATTTGTACTTGGCTTAAGATGAATTAATTCCGTATAATATTAGATAGTAATAAGAATCATTAATACAACAATACATTTAAATGTATAAATATATATTGGATAAATTACTGCAATACCGGATATCGGAAATCAAGAATTTCAGCGATATTTAGTTTTGTTTTCGATTCACATTTCGATATTCTTAACCAAAATTCTTAATAAAGTAAATAACATAATATCTACTAGACAATGTGAGAAAAATTTATGTTGTTTAAGACTACATTTTTTGTCCAATTTGAAGATTATTATTTGAATTCTCAATATACTATCAATAAGCAGTTATCGGCGTGCATCTCAGCCAAGAAAATTGGTGTAATTATATAGAAAATATTCGAATTATTATCCATTGTTTCTTCTCGCACGAGTGAAAATATCGGCATAGACAATGACGACATCGTGCACAGTTATCGTCTGTAAAATCGCAAGCATGACACTCAATCAGATGCCGATTGCTGCTATATTTGAGAAAGTAGCGCAAAGCGCTTACAATTGCAATTTTTTGTTTCCGTTCGTTCTTCTCTGTTCCACTGATAGGAACAGAGAAAGTCTTTGTTTCAATGCCGCACCAATGATAGAAATTGTCTCGTCTTGAGGTGTAAATTTTTTGTACTATAACTTGTAGATTAATATCCGTAATCGTCATGGAAATCACGTTTAAATCGAGAGAGCACGCTCAAGCGGAAAATAGAAGATATTTCCGGAGAGAGTTGTACTTGATAATAGTGAATTTTATATTTTATGGCAATGTTTATTGCATGAAACTTTCATTTGACTGAAAAAAATATTGCTTGAAAGATCAATATACTTAAAAAATCGCATATTTTTAATAATTTTATAACATTTTCCATATCGCCTATCAATTCTCTTCACGTTTTTGTCGATATTTTCCTTTACATTATCCTTTGCACAGTTATGCACTGGCGGTTCTGTGACGGACTTAGTACAGGGACTGAAAAGGCGTGGAAGCCGTTTGACCGATGACCAGATAGCCTACATCTTGCGTGAGACCGTCGAAGCATTGATTTACTTACATAACAATCATTGCATGCATCGTGACGTGAAAGGCCACAATATCTTGTTGACTGAGGATGCACGAGTCAAACTCGTTGATTTTGGCGTTTCGTCGCATCTTGCGGCAACTTATGTTAGGCGGAATACATCTGTTGGAACGCCATACTGGATGGCACCTGAGGTATCTACATGAATTTTTTATTAGTCTTGTTTACCTATGCTCAATCATTGTGTTATTGACCATAATACTCGATGTATTGAATTAAAGATAAAGGTAGTAATATTCAAACTACAAATCGCTGTAATTATAACTTGCACGATGCGTTCATTAGCCTCAAAGAAACCATACTGTTATGCTAAACTTAAGTGACGTCGAAAATTCCATGTTACAGGTGATTGCTTGCGAGCAGCAGCTCGACTCTTCGTATGATTCACGCTGCGATGTATGGTCGATTGGTATCACGGCTATCGAATTATCAGAGGGTGACCCACCACTGTCTGAACTACATCCAATGCGTGCCTTATTTCAAATTCCTCGTAATCCGCCTCCTTCCTTAAAAAATCCAGATATTCATATGCCGGAGTTGGTTGATTTTATTACCGAGTGCCTTGTCAAAGATCTTGAGCATCGTCCGTTTGCTTGTGAACTGAAAGAGCATCCTTTGCTTTTGAGTATTGAGGAAAGAATGGATGATATAAGACTTCAAATACAGGAAGAAATCAAACGGCAAAGGTAAGACTTTTCGATTGGGTTTTGATACATTAGAAATAGCTTTAACTTATTATTAACATTTTCTTTGCTACTTAGATCCGAAGGTAAAGTACATCGACAGCCAGAAGTAACGACTAAGCATGGAAAACTAAAAACTGATCGAAAAACGCGACCCGAAAAAATGTATATGGATGATTTAGCAGCGCTAGATATGCTCTCGGAAGATGCAATTGTTGACCAACTACAAAACCGTTATGAAAGATCGCAAATTTACACTTACATTGGTGACATCCTTGTTGCAGTTAATCCATTTGCGAATCTCGGCCTTTATACAGGAATGGTATAGTATTCAGTAACAATAGAGAGCAAATGTTTAGAAAAAAAAAGTAATTCCAATATAATTTCTCATATAATTTGAATTCAGGAGCAAAAGCGTTACAAAGGCCAAGCCCGTTCCGACAACCCGCCACACATATTCGCCGTAGCGGATGCAGCCTATCAAGCGCTACTGCATCAGCGGCAAAACCAAGCCATAGTTATCAGCGGCGAGTCGGGTGCCGGTAAAACTGAGTCGGCTAATTTGTTGCTTAAGCAGCTGGTGTATCTAAGCAAAGCTCCTAATCGTAATTTAGAAGAGCGCATTCTTCAGATAAATCCCATAATGGAAGCATTTGGAAATGCAACTACTGGTATAAATGCAAACTCATCACGGTTTGGAAAATATCTAGATCTTACGATGACTAAAGGTGGTAAGGTCACCGGTGCTAGGATTGCCGTGTATTTGCTAGAACAATCACGGGTCGTTGCGCAAGCTGAGTAAGTACTATGATTTGTTTTAGTTTCAAGAGCGTGAAAAATTTGGAAAAATATAGTGATTATTTATCGTGAGCTTGATTTTTTACTCTTTAGATTAAAGATAAACCTAATTGTTTTTAGTAATTACGAGCTTCAAACAACATCATTTTTAATAAAATTAATGCTTTATTTATATTTCAAAACTATATTTTTGGATTACAGAGGAGAGAGAAATTTCCACATTTTCTACTATATGTATGATGGTCTTGAAGCTGACAACCGTTTGCAAGAATTTTTCTTGAATCCTGAGTTACGACAAAACCACCGATACTTCACCGATAAAGTCGATACATCACAGACTCATATAGACAAATTTCAGCAGCTTAAAAATGGATTTAAAGTTCTGGGTTTTCATGATGCTGAAATTGACACTGTTTATAGCGTCTTGGCAGCAGTACTCCATCTCGGTGATATTGAATTTACCGAAGTGGTCTCCGAAGATAATACCGACAATAAAAGTGAAGTTGTTGATAATGAACCTGTATTGCGAGGTATTTACTAGCATAATTCGTATAAATTATTAATTTATGAAAGATGTAACTATAACTATATTTTGTTTAGTATCAAGACTGTTAGGAATCGAACCGAACGATCTCGTTGATGCTATAACATCAAACTCAGTGGTAACACGCGGCGAAACAATTACCCGCAATAATACAGTTGTGGAAGCTTGTGCTGCACGTGATGCCATGGCCAAAGGACTCTATGGCCGTTTGTTTGACTGGATGGTCAATCAGATTAATATATTGCTCAGTTTTAATCGCTCTCCTAATTATGAACCTTTGGCTATTGGACTGCTCGACATTTTCGGCTTCGAGAATTTCCCGAAAAATTCGTTTGAGCAGCTTTGCATTAATATTGCTAATGAACAAATTCAATATTATTTCAACCAACATATTTTCACCTGGGAGCAGCAAGAGTATATGGCTGAGGGTATCCCGGTGGATTTAGTCGAGTTTTCAGATAACCGGCCTGTACTTGATATGCTACTAAGTAAACCAATGGGATTGTTGGCACTCTTAGATGAGGAAAGTCGATTTCCAAGAGCTAATGATAAATCTTTGATTGGTAAAATTAATATAATGATAGATATTTTTTCGTATGGTGAACTTTACACCTAATCTTTCATTTATTGACAGAAAAATTCCATAACAACATCAAATCAAAATTCTATGTAAGACCAAAATCAGATGCTGTTTGTTTTGCTATTCATCACTTTGCGGGACGAGTAGTATATCAGGCAGATGGTTTTCTTGAAAAGAACAGAAATTTTCTGCCACCCGAGGTTATACAACTTGTTCGTCAATCCCAGTTTGACATGGTTCGCTTCCTATTCCAGTGCCCCATTACGAAAACTGGTAATCTATATTCTGCTATCCATGATACAGATTCCCGAAAATTAACGTCTTCTGGACACAGTACAAAGGTATATTATATATAAATAATTGTTATGTACATACGTTAACAATTGTTCAATTTACTTCGATAATTATTATTTTGTAAATATAAAGGAACGATATTCAAGCAGAGGATTAGCATCCCAGTCACGAGCGCAACAGACCGTGGCGACATACTTTAGATATTCGCTTATGGATTTGCTGCAGAAGATGGTATCTGGTTTACCGCAATTTGTTAGATGTATCAAACCTAATGACAATAGAAGTCCAAAGTTCTTCGATAAAGAAAAGGTTATTAAACAGCTGAGATACACTGGTGTACTGGAAACTATTAGAATAAGGCAAAATGGATTCTCTCATCGAATATTATTTAATGAATTCTTAAAGAGGTATGTACAATTAACATAAATATATTTTTGATAACAGATTGATTGTGACAGTATTAAAAATTACGTTTTAGATACTGTTTTCTTGCTTTTGGTTGGGATGAACGGGTAATCGCAAATCGCGACAATTGTCGCTTACTTCTAGTGCGTTTGAAGATGGATGGTTGGGCTTTGGGCCGCACTAAAGTATTCCTCAAGTACTATCATGTTGAATTTTTGTCCAAGCAATACGAAGAACAGCTAAGAAAGATTGTAATGGTGCAAGCATGTGTACGAAGATGGTTAGCTAAGATTCGCTTCAAGAAGGAGAAATGGCAGCTGGCAGTGTCGGTAGTAACGCTGCAGCGTCATATTCGAGGTTGGCTTGCCAGAAAGCATGCCATTAAAGCCATCAGAAAAAGGAATATGGATGAAGAAGCTTCCGTACTTCAAAAATCTGCTGGTAAGCATTTTTAAATACTCCAATTAGCAATGGTCAATTTTTTTCTATGTAGTTTGAACGTATGACTCTGAAGTATTACAATCTTATTATGTCATCTAAGAAAAGTACTTGTAATTATCGTAGATTTTTATGTCAAGCCCATTGCTATTAATACTGATTCTTTAATACAAAATAAAAATCTGTCGATTCAATTAGATGCTATCCTCTCCGATTGATAAGTGTTTCCTGTAGCGATAATTTTATTAAACTAGATTATTCAATCAACTCCGTTTTTGACAGTTAATATATTGTGATTTATTTTTCATCACTTTGAATTACATATTTTAGAAGAAATAGTTGACAGGACAAGAGCATCAAGACAAGCATCCGTTGATGCAGATGAAAATTTGAAAAATGAAGAGCATGCTGCCGTAATTATTCAGAGTCATTTCAGAGGATACACAATTCGTAAGAAATTTGGTTATGAACTAGAAGAACGTTACAAAAATATTTTGAATGATTATGACGATAAGAAAGAAGCTCATCAGGCATTACTACGCGAAGGTCTCAAAAATGAAGATGCGGCTCTCATTATCAGAAGATGGTATAAGACAGAAGAACGTGTCAGAAATAAGCCGGCAACTAAAGATAATATCCATCCTAAGCTCAGACAAGCTGATTTAATTCACTTTGCGCAGACTGTAATTAGCGTAAAATCATTCCTTTATTACAATTTTCAGGTTTCTATACACGAGAGTATGTTTTCTATTCTAGGTACATATGAAGAACCAAGAAGTGCATAAGTACTTACGTCGCAACAAGCCTGGAGTACGATTATACGAAATTGAGGACTTACCACCAGACTACGTTGTTCCGGAAGGCTTTAAAATGGCCAGAAAGGTTTTGCAATATCGCAATGGAAACCAACCAGAAGCTGATGATACTGTCAAATATTACCGTGACCTTAAGGAAGAAATGAGCAGGTAGATACTCAATTTATTTTGATTTTGTAAAAAGCACATTCCACGCGGAAATTGTGAAATTTAATGCGTATATTATAATATAAACACAAAATATGAAAATTTTAATTTCGGATTTCACCATGATTTCGGGCACTCGCATCGAAAGTGGTTCCGACTTCGAAGAAGAAGAAGTTGGCTGGGACTTACCGTTGATACAGCTAGAAAATGACCTTCAGCCATCGGGGAGGTATTATTGTGTGGTTTTTGAGCTAGTTACTATAGACTTTGTTGCTTTGAATATATTTGTCATTAGATATATTGTAAGGAAATCTGTTATCTTTCGATTATTTATTTAATTGAACCAACCGTCATTTCACCTAATCGTCGATTTCACCTCGATACAATAATATAAATTTCCTTATTTTTTAGCATGTAGATCACTGTTTCGTCCACAATTACTTTCTTTTCAGAGTGCTCTTCATTAATCAGTCCGAGTAATGAAAAAATTTGCGACACCATTTCTCATAAAATCATCTTATTTGAAGAATATATCAAAGACATCATGATGTATTCTTTCAAGTTCAAATGAGATTATATACATATAATGCAGAAAAATATTATTATTAAACGTGGAGTGTGCAATTTTTATTACTCGGTGTAGAAATAATACAGTCAATGGTCACTATTAAGATAATACTGATTGGAACGTTCTTTAAAATCACAGAGGTCGAATGGGTCAAGTACTGGAGCTGAATGCCGAAAGAAGAGAACGTCTACAAGCTTATGGAGATTACACAGTCGCTCCGGAACAACAACTTTCAGATATTTGGCATAAAGCCCTGAGAAATCCAGCAGAAATTCAAGTGGGAGACAGTTCGACGAAATCGATTAAGTAATTATCATTTTTCGTCAAGTATAAATGTTGCATGTATGAAACAATAAATTATGATGTTGTATGCAAATTTTGTATGGCTGATGTTATCTAGCCATTTAGAGCTTATTCAACTTATACTAATGTGATTATTATTTCACTTTTATTTCCTATATCAGAGGTATCATGGCAAACTTTCAGGTATATCCTGTTTGATTTTATCCGTTTCCTAGGTGTTTAGTATAGAAAATGCATGAGTTCCTATATTTATTTCTTTTGCTTTGTTAAAGATTCATCTGTACATTATGACTTTTTATACAAATATTTTTAGTTATTTTGTATAAAAACTTCGAAATGCCAATTAACACCCGCAATTGACAATTTGAAGATATCGGAAAAAAATTGAATATTGAGTAATAATTTTTAAATTATTTCCAGTACAAGGACTAATGAGCTGCGTAATCACATGCGATCCTCACCAGATAATCGAGCACCCGCCAAGAAGCCGCAGTTGCCTAACGCTAATAACAATGCGTATATCAACCCTGCAACTGGCATACGAATCGGAGTTAGTTACAAGGTCATCGAGCCAGTTTTACCAACGAACGGGATCAACAGCTTCGTTAACAACAATAACCGACAGAATCATCAACAACATCGAGACAAAATGATCAAGCAGCAAAGGCATAACAACAATAACGTAGGAGAACGAAAAAACGAGCTGAGCCGACTGCCCATGACCAACCTGATCGATCGAATAAGCAGCCAGGATAACAACTACAATATCACCAATAATAATAATAATAATAATAATAAAATAATAATTAATGACCAAGATAAAAACAGACAAAGACCGATCATTGCACGAAATTTGGTCAACAGCCATCCAACGATAGCAGTAAGATCTATTAATGACACAATCGGAATAACACCAGATCTTAGGAAATTTCTCAGGCCAACAAAAGTTAACGAGGAAAAGAAAATGCTGCAGCAACAGGATACGGAAGACATTAATGGGCCTTACAATTTCCGTAAACTATTGAGGCCAGCCGAATATTTGCCAACCGAGTCTCTTCGTAAGAGGAAAGGCTGTAACGGAGCTACTGCCGTCAAAGAAAAAGTTACCGGTAAGCAGGTGAAAAGGAGAGCGCCACCGGCACCAAACGTCAATTGTCGAATTGTCGGCAGTCGGAAATAACAAGTTGCAATTGAGTAAAAATTCAGATCGATTTTCAGTCTTACATTTATCGCTTTTAGAACTATTCCATGAAGTTTATGTTTCTCAGATATTAGATGTTTTTTATTATTAAAAGATTGCTACTGTGACAAACAAGTTGTGGATTGTTCGATCGTCAACTGTGATTAATAATCTAGAAACATTATATTGGCTGCGCGCGATTATACGAAGCAGTGTTTAAAATGATTTTTAAAAGATTTCTTTTTTCATTTGTTTTCAGATTAACTAATCGAATAATAATTAATGTGCGCATGTTTAGTACTAGTCATTATCAATCTAAACTATCGCAGTTCAGCGATCATTTCAGTAGAAAATAATAAAAACTATTGTGTTCGTAACTAGGTAATTAGAGATAAGACACCAGTGGCTCAATTTTTTGCAAACCAAAAATCAATATTCATTTACAAAGCAGTAAAGAATATTATTATTATCGTTATTAATATTTAAACTGGAATTATTAAGCTCCTATATTACTTAATAATGTAAGGTTAAAATTATTATTGAGTCGGTATTTCACTATTGCTAAAGTAATAAATGTAAAATCTACAAAGAAATATTATTGTTATAATTTAGCAAGCCTATAAAAATGTTCTCTAAAATATACGCATCGCTGTCTTTCTTCAATAACCCAATTTATCCTAACGATTATTTCAACAAAATATGAAAACACTCGAGTCTATCATCACAACTTGTTAGATTCTTAATCAGTCAAGCCTGGAAAAGCTCTTGTTATCTACAGGGCTTTTGTCTAAGCTCTACAACTTGGAAAGCTCTCCATGAGATGTCGCGTGTATTCGGGGCGTGATGCGGGGCGACCGGCTTGGCGTATCGTCCGCGTGTGCCTCAGTGGCGCCTAGCTCCCTCTCGTACAACCGCGAAAAAGAATTGTGCGTGCATCGTGCACGTTGTTGTAGAGGAGGAGGAGGGGGTCGCATGTGTGTTGGTGCATCGAACTCCGTGCTGCTACGTTGCAGCTAGTGCGACCAGGGCATCGTGCGCGTAAACACAAGCTCTCTTTTTCTCTCTTACTCTTTACATCTCTCTTTCGCTGTCTCTATCTCTCACTCGCTTCTTTCAAAGTCTCTCTCAAAAAATAAAGAATGGCGACCGAAGACACGAGCAGCAGCGAAAAGACAACCACCGACAAGGTGGAGCCTTCTACTACTACCGCTACTACAACTGTTGCAGCTGCGACTGGCATTGCGTGCACATCTTCGTCGACAAAAGAGAGTAACCTTGTGGAACAAGCAGCAGCAAATAGTAGCCTTGATTTCAAGAGTCGTAGCATCGAGCAGGTTGTACTGCCTCTCGTGTCGAAGGTAAGAAAGAAAAGTAGGAAAAAAATTTCCTCTGTTTTTCTCCTCTTATTTCACGACAAAAAACAAGTGCCACTCGGCACCGCATATGTAAGCCGCCGTCGCCACCGACGGCGAAACGTTTTATCGGTCGGCGATATATCCCAAAATAGCCCAAGCAGCATATTTCAGCTTCTAGAACGCCCCACGCACACTCGACGATTGATTCGGCAAAACCAACATAACGTTCTTTTCGCACAATGTGTTCAATGTATATTCACTCTCTCACGTGCTTTAGCGAGGTTTTGCCGCACACACCGATCTGTCATCGGTGCACTTGTTACCATCCTACCGCCCTACACCGATTCATGCGTTGTTGTATGTGTGTGCGTGTGTAAATTATGCTTCCCATTTCTTTCTTCTTTTTAGTATTTATGCGCTCGATGGGGTCATTGCGACTATGTGTGTGCTACTTTCGCGCTAATGCTCTGTTGCCTTTTTTTATCTTTGAAATCGATAAAAAGGATTTACGATTAAGAAATTTTGCTTCGGTCTTTGTCGTGAATTCACGACAATAACATGTGTTTACAAATGCTTCGAGTATAATTAAACAGATACATTAGTAGTGAGTAAGGCATAGCCCGATTTTTTCACGAGTAAAAAGCGCGAGTCTATAGTTAAGCAAATATCATGACCTAGTAGATCGAAGGTGAAAAACTAACAAATGAAATATCCACATTTCACGCAAAACGCTTATTCAACCTAAGTTATGCTGCCACTACAAAAAAGAGTAGTACTCCAAAACAGACCGAGGAATCATACTCAATTGCATGGGCGACCTGACGCTCACAGTTACACATGTACAATCGATGATCTGATATAACCTAAGAACGTTATTTTCTTCTCCCACATCTTCAACAACAGAATACACACACACACACACTTGCTTAACAAAATTTGTCGACGAAATTACATACCAAAACTCAATCACCGTAATCAACAATCACAAGGTAAATTTAAAACGGTTTGTATTCAAACTCAAAAGTGTTACTTTCTGAAATGTATCTTTAAGCATACCGAACGATGTACTAGAAAATATATTAGATTAAATAGGAATTATATGTGGATTTATTTTATGGTGGATAATTAAAGTTAACATATAGATAAAGACGACTATAATCATGTAGCTAGCTTCAGAAGGCAAGTTTACTCGAAACCTAATGACATATGATGATTGCATTATGACGAATTCAATTATTTTATCTAAGTCATGATAGTCTCTCTCAACTATTTTTATATACAAACAAGACGGATACGTTGCTGATCGAAAATTGAATTAAGGGTTCTTTAGCTGACATAGAATTCGATAAATACCAATCCACTCGTCATGTTAATAGGAGCAAATACAAAAGAATGTATTCAACAATTATTTTACATTATACATTATCAAAATTAAGTACGCCAAAACTGCAGAATGATAATATTAAACACACAGCTATAATCATGAAGGGAAATAAAAGAGAAGACTTTTCAAGAAAGTTTATATTATATTCAACTAGATAACACAAAACAATATAACAAAACTTGATAGAAAATAAAGTAATCTACCAATTTAACATGACTAACGAATTGTTAACAAAAGGAAGTAGCACTTATCAATAAAACATTAACGTTATTCCAAACTTTCACAAATTACACTAATAACAGCTATGACTAACATACCAAAAACTATAACTACTTACAAAAAATATACTCCACGATGGAATAAAAAATACAAAACAGCTTTCAAAAAGAAGAAAAAGAACTCTACTGATATATAAAATACATAATACTATCGAAAATAAACATGAACAATCTAAAAGAAAAGCACAAGCCAAGGAATTAATATAAAAAGCAAGAAAAGATTCGTGGATCAATTTTTTCATTTAGTAAATCAACAAACAATAACGTATAAAATATAGAAAAAATCAAAGCGACTAAAAGGCGAAACCGCTGCTCTCATCCACTTTAATTAAAAACGGAAAAATACTGAATAATGATCAGGATATATTAAATATAATCGTTATAAACTTTGCCAAAAATTCAAGCGACAGACTACATGCTCGAATTCCTCAAACATAAAATCAACAGTGAAAAAATATAAATTAACTCAAATCTATTTATAGGTGACGTTGAACCGTTTAATGTTATAACAATTGAAGAATTAAATACGATAATGATAAATGGTAAGAATACAATCTCAGGACCAGATACTATTCCAAATTTATAAATAAAACATCTGCTAGAGAAGACCAAACAGTCCTTGGTGTTTATATACAACATAAGATAGAAAAAATAAGTATTTCCAAAAATATGTAATCAACCCAAAGTTATTTTTATTCTAAAACCAGACAAATACGAACGTGATAAAATTAGCTAACATCTGTAAAGCCTTCAATAATAATCAACATCTTATAGTTTTATGTATTGGTATGAAAAAAACGTACCATCTAGTATGGAGACGCAAAATCATAGAACTACTCGCAAAAGCAAGCATCAAAGGGAACATATTAAAATTTATAAATAACTTACATATTAATAGAAAGATAAGAATTAAATTAAATAATGTTTACTCCAATCCAATATACAGAGATAATGGAGTACCACAAGGATTGTGTATTAGTATCATACTTTTCATATCATAGAATATATATAGAGACATATACAACAAATTTATCAAAATAGTCAAATTCATGAAACAAATAAAAGTATTTATAATTGACTTTAGTTTAACCAGCAGACGGCCGGGATTTTAGAATGTGTCCAAGTCGTACTTTTCAAAAAATTTTCTGAGAAAAATTTCCAAATGGACTAGAAATATGGATCCATCTCAGAGTAATGCCGATCGGCATCATCCCGGCCACCTGAAAGTTAAAGATATATTTATAACACTCTATGTTTTGAATTTAACTTTCGTGAGTTGACCTCGATCCCGATAATTAATTAATTTTGTGTATGTGCGTGTGTGCGTGCGTGCGTGCGTGCGTGCGTGCGTGCGTGCGTGCGTGCGTGCGTGCGTGCGTGCGTGCGTGCGTGCGTGCGTGTGTGTGTGTGTGTGTGTGTGTGTGTGTGTGTGGACAAAAAAATAAATAAAATAGAAAAATTTTGAAAGCATGATAAAACAATGTACTCGTATATTGAACACTAAGAAAGATAGGCATAAAAACCTCCACTCTGTGAGTGAAGGAAAAAGCCGTTTAAACTAAACTTACAATTAATCGAACTTAAACTAAAGCACTTACAACACAGTGACATGTAGACGACGCACTGGACACAATGAAGCTGAGCAGTAGTCCAGCAGGATACAGCACTGTGGATAGGAGGAGGGTACAGCCCTCAGACAATACACGCACGCACACCCGAACATAAACATTAACAAATTAATTAAGTAGTAGCGCGTTAAACTAAGAATCAATTTAAATATATAAATGAGAACACATTGAACAATATCGAACCGACGGTGAAGCTGAGACACTGTTATTTTACTCGTAAGGGTTAGGTAGCGAGTGAGTGTCAAGAGAGACGAGACATCGCGCGAGTTCAGCGTCTCGAACGGTGAGGAGAGGGTAAAAGCCCACCTATATTAGCGAACGATCAATGAAATTACTCTTATACAGAACTGGTCCCGTCGTCATTGTAGCCGCTCTTTCGGCTGTTTCACAGCTGGATTTCACGACAATTAGGCCGTCGGTTCTACGATACGTGTGGAGAATCCCACAGAAAAATCTTTCCTTTTGAGTTTTACCCAATATGTGTACGAAAGGTTTTCTTGGGTTCCACAAACACAAGCGCTCACGCACATGTCAGAGAAAATCGAAACATAACCCAAACACTCTACTTATAATTACATTGAATACTTTGAATATTTCGTTAATATCCAATAAAAGAAGCAACAATAAATAAAACTAATAAAAAAAATTTGTTTATTGATCGTTCGATTCAGCTACTTTCCAAGCTATATAAAAATTGTTTTGTAAATGAGATGTCGCGTGAACTGCTAGAACAGATCGATAAGCATCCGATAGAATGTGCTACACTGCTTAATTAGTGTGCTCTTCCGTAAACTTTACTTAATAAAATAACACTTTCTAACCCAGAGAAAATGACAGGGTAAAACAAAAGAAGCTTGGGCTTCTACTGTATACTTTAAAATACACCGTTGTGTAAGCTAATACTAAAACGATTATTTTCCATTTTATGAACAGCTCGTTTAATAGTATTTTAACTCATGTATGTTTTAGTATTCAAAGTTTTATTTTAGTGAATTAGTCATTAATATGTAGCAAAGTATTAAAATGTAGAATACACTAATTAACACATCAATCAGCTTTTCGCGGGAAAAGCCATAAAAACATTCGAATTTACTTTACGTGCCAAACTTGGTCAACCGTCTCCTATTTTTATATACGTATAAACTATTTATATTAAATTTTACGCGACATTAGCATTATTCCTGAAAGAGAGCTCCCACCCCCCGCCATTACTCATTTGTGGTACTTGCTTACCACAAATTGAGAACCTTAAAAATGGGCAAAATCATCGTCAGACAGTCACATACACGCTCAAAGAGAAATGTACATATACAAGGATAAACAAAACGAAATAATTGTACAGAGCTTGCGCACTCCCCTTTTTACTGAATATGCGTCAGAAAATTTCGACAGCTCGACGAGGATGTGTTTCCGCTTTGACAAACACACGCGAGCGTATAATACGTCATCGTCGTCATCACCGTCAGTTCAAAGAACCCACACATACATACACAGAAAGTGTACAGGCGCTTAGAGTCAAAAAAAGTTTCGCGACTGCGATTTTAATCACGTTGCTGAAAGTTCACGAGAACTCATTAAGATATAAAATGTGTTCTGTAACTGACTACATATTGATTTTTCTTGTATGTGTATGTAGCCTAGTTAAATCAAAATATTGGTGTTTGTGCTTTCAAATGAATTTTGATAATATGTCATGATGTTTGCAGGTTAAGC